ATGCCTTTGATTATCTCAAGAAACATTTACAGGGTTCACTTCCTAAAATTAATTTCAATTAGCTTAATTCGAAGTTTTTTAAATTTTCATACTACTTAAGATTGTCTTGACAGCCTAATTTGATGATTGCTAAGGTCATGTTAGCCTGATTAGAAGGAAAACACTCTTAATAAAAGGGAAAAAAAACCCACAATTTAAATTTTATAGTACACCACTGGATTTTTCTACAAATTCATAGATATTTCCCACTGAAACGTTTATTTCAACTCCAAGCAAGTATAGAGAATAACGTGGTAAAATCACAAATGTTACTACGTGAGCCTTACATTTTGGAGAAATGAAAATAACCTTGTTTCAGTGAAGCATGGCATTTAATTGGCACCCGATCTTTCCCCCTCATGAATCTGGAGACAATAGAAAATTTTAAAGTAGGAGACAATCCAATTAAATTTTCTTTTAAAAATGTCAAAAGTCAGTAAATCCAGGCCCCATTAGCTCACACAGTTGGGTTTGGTTTTTTTTTGTCCTTCCTAGGCTGCTGCTATTTATTGGGTTTTTACCCAATGCCATCTTCACTTCCCATTTCAAAAGGGTGTAATTTTACAAACCCACAGCTGCATTTTCACCATTGTGGAACAAGTAATTCATGGTTAACTTGTGTGACCACTTAAGTGGCTCTAGTGGCAGCCTGCTTGAAAGGTGTCTTCAGCCCTCTTGTTGAGTCAGGCTCCTAGCCACTTTGGAATCATGATTTTGTATCATTGTGGATTTGTACTGTGCCTTTCCTAGTTCTTTGTCCTTCTAGAAAATGGTAAGTGGCACACATAATTAATTCCAGATTAAGATGAGTTTCAATTTGAAATTTTGATACTGCTACTTGAGTCCATGGTTTGGCAAGAAAGTGCTTTTTTAGCAAGCTGCATGCCCCATGGTCTCCATAGACATTTGATGAATGCTTTTTAAACGTGTAAAAATGTAAAATTGCACCGTCTTAACTTGACTTCCCGAGAAGTCAGAATCAACTCCATGGCAATGAGTCTGAATTCTAAAAAGCAGATTGGCATGTCAATAGTGTTCTAGAAGAAAGGAAAGGGAACACCTGACTGGGAGTGAGGACTGAAAAGCAGAAAAGAGTGAGGGGCGATGAAAACCAGTTGCCTTGGAATCGTATCAGACTCGTGGGGCAGCAGTGTGCATCAGAATGGAATTGTGCTCCAGAGTGGTCGGTGGCTGCTTTCTCAGAAGTTGCTCTGTAGGCACTTCTTCCAAGGTACCTCTAGAATAGACTCTAACTACCAACCTTTCCGTTCACAGCTGAGCACCTTAACCATTTCCGGTATCCAGGAACTCCTAGGAAGCTAGTAATGCTCTCTTGTCTACCCAGTTACAACTGTGGATGACTGGTGCTCAATGCTATTGTGAAACACTGGGATCGAGTGGCCAACACATACCCACCATAGAGGGGAGCTGTGGGATTCATTCACCAACTCCCTTTGGTTATTGGGTCATGGCTGAACTTGAACCTGGGGAAAGAAATGAATTCCCAGGCACTTATGGCTTGTCACAGGGAAAGTTACAGTCGGCCAAAGAAAAGACTGCAGGGGAAGGAAGGCAAGGGCTCATGGTTGGAAATTAGGCTGGGGTGTCCTAAAGTGCAAAGGGTGAGGGGACAGGGAAGGATGCAGACAGTGCCTGCTATACATTCATAGTTCAGATTTAAATGTGCACTGTCATGGGGCTCATTTTTACAGATACACAAGCAGGTACATCCTCTTCTGAAATGAGAATGACCACTGTGGATGAACACCCCACTTGTAAAATTATGGTGCTATCATTTCCACTTAGGACTTATATGCACTACTAGGAAAACAATAGGATCCTGGGGTTTGTTTGCATTTTAGAGTGTAGGATGACTAAAGCATCAATAGAGACAAAGAATATTTTAACTATAGATTTTCATAGCCTGGAACAATTGCATATTTGTTAGAAATATTAGACAAAGATACCACCAGTTGTCGTTGAGTAAATTCTTTCTTGGTGACCTTGTGTGTCTCAGAGCAACCCTGTGCTCTATCAGGGTTTCAGTGGCTAATTTTGGGGAAGTAGATGTCCAGAACTTCCTTCCACGGTGCTTCTGGTAACTGTCAACCTTTTGGTTAGCAGCTGAGCTTGTTAACTGCACCACTCAGTAACTCCTCCTAGACAGTGATAGTATGGAGACTTCTCATGTTCCCAAAGTCTCTTTGTTTTATAAAGACATTGGCCATGTGATTCCTTTAACTAGACCTAACTTAAATGTATGAAAGAGGTACTTCCCCCCCCTTTGTGGCATAACCACCCATTTCCTATTTTCCTTTGGGTCCAAATTTTTTTCCCTGTCAGTTCTCTTTAAGCTTGTAATCTGCGAAAAAGTTTCCTAACGTGGAAGCTTGGACACTAGATTGGTCTTTAGTTCCTTAGCATCTGCAAATCTGCTTATAGCATGTATCTTATAAGGGGGCAGAAAAATACAATTCTATCTGGAACCTAGAGAATAGTGATACAGCATAAAATATAATCAAAGAAAATGCTATTGATTCTGAAGCGAGCACAGTGGGGCTGGAAAGAGGTCAGGAAAGGTTTGGGACAGGCCTGGGATTAGAGAGGTAAAAATTTAAAGAAGTAGACTAACTTTTATCGTTTCTTTTAAAAACTTTTATCTTTTCATCTGAAGTCATCCTTAATTTAAAATCTCAAGGCCTTGATTTGAAATTGATTTCCAAACTCTTGAGTTGTCATTGTCTTAGTGGAAATTTCTTTCTTTCCTTCGCTTTTATTCTTAGAATTTAAATTATGATTCCTTGCTTTAATGAAACCCACAACCTTCCTCTAGTTCTTAAACGCTTCCTCCCCCCAACTACCAGGACCCCAATTTTGCCTTGCAGACCTGGTTAGACCAGATGATGCACAGCGGTACAGATGGGAATTGGAAACACAGGGAATCTAGGACAGAAGAACCTCTCAGGACCAGGCGTGACAGTGGCGATACCAGGAGGGAAAGGGGATGTAGTAAGCGGGAATGGATCACAGGGAGCCACATATAACCTCCTCTCTGGGGGAAAGGCAGCAGAGGGGTGGGTGAAGGGAGACACCGGACAGTGTAATATAAGATACAATAATAATTTATAAATTATTAAGGGTGCAGGGGGGAAAGGGGAGGAGGAAGGGAAGGGGAGGGGAAAAAAAAAAGGAAAATTAGCAGATTCTGGGAACCCAAGAGGCAAGCGAATTTTGGGAATAATGAGGGCAACAAATGTATAGATGTGCTTTACACAATTGATCTATGTATTGTGATGAATTGTATGAGCCCCAATAAATTGATTAAAAAAAAAGGGAAAGACTTTTGTTACCTATTAAGCTATGAGGAAACATATCTAATACTGGCCTGCTCCATAGAACATTGTTTTCACCGAATAATTTCATCATAGTTATATGAGTGGCACAATGCCTTTCATTATGTGTCATATAGTTAATATATTTCATTCATTGGTTTTAAAAACCTATCTAAAATTGTAAATGTGTGTATTTGGACTGCTCCTCTGTAACAAGATAGAATTTTAAAGTGCTATGAAAAGCAAAAATTCCTTTTAGTTTTTGATAAAAATTTTGAGGATGTGTTGAATCGTAGAGATAGATGACTATTGATCTCAGCCTTCATTAGTTAAAAGATCATTTAGAATATATAACGTGATGTACTAACATTGGCGTATGGAGGGACATTGTATTAACTTACCTGTTGTATGCACTATACAAATCATCCCCTTTTATCTGGATGGTCATTTCCTTTTTTACACTGCACTTGGGTAGTTCCAGGGCAACTTCCAACAGAAGGCACTCTTAAAAGAGTAGAGTAGTGTCACTTCAAGAACCACTTGTCTTCTACTTAACTCTTCTAGTTGAAAATGATAGGACCAAATGTAGCTTTGTAGGAAAGGAGCCAGCTGCCTATGAATAGGCCTAGTACTCTCTCCATGTTGGAAGCTAGCCCAGGGCATAAGCACAGCTCAGGAGCCCCGCTACTAGGGTTACAAACCCAGGCTTCTCCACTTAATTAGCAGCTTAATTTTAACCATTTTCTGCCTCTGATTCCTTTTTGTAAAGAAAAACTAACTTGCCTTCAAGTTGGTTCCAACTAATCTTGACCCCATGCGTGTCAGAGGGGAGCTATGTGTGTGTGTAACCTATTCCCCAAAGCAGAATGTAAGTGATCCAGTGCTCTTTCACTGTTAGGTTGATGAAGGTTGGATTTTTAAAATTGAGTGTTTAATCAAGTATAGAACAGCTAGTATTGTAGTATGCTGCCCAACAAATAACCCCTCTGATTGCAGTGGGTCACAACAACAGTTGCTTTTCTTGTTCATGGGCTCATAGGTTAGCCAGAGTCAAGCTAGACTCTCCCTTGTGTCATTTGGAACCAGCAGCAACCTGGGGCATGCTCTTCTCCTGATGATTGCAGAGGTCAAGCCAAGGCATGCCTGCATGTTAGAGCTTCTGTTTATACTAGATCTCCTAACATTACTGAGGCCAGAACCGGTCACATGGCCAAGCCCATGTCAGAAGAGGAAAGAAAATTCACTCTTTTTTTTTTAACTAATTAATTATTTTATTGGGAGCTCTTGCAGATATCATAGCATCCCATAGTTCCATCACATCAAGTAGTAATGTACAATTGCTACCACAATCAGTTTCTAACCATTTTCAGAAGATTCCCTCTTAGTCCTCTAGTGGAAGTACTGTCAAGCCTTATGGTAAAGGGTGCTGATGTGTAACTGCAGTACTGGGAAAGAATGACCAAGAACAAGGATCTAAGCTAAGGTCTTATGGTACTGTGAAGTGGACTGTGGAAAAGTCGGCTTTGAAGTTAAGCGGTTTACCTAAAATAAGAGCAATTTGATGTTGCATTTATAAAACTGTACTTTGGAATGCGGTCTAATTATAACCATCCTTGTTTTATCCCTTAGAAAACGGAATATGCTTGGATGGGGTCACCGTCACCAGTTCCTGTGAGATACATTAACTACAAACCCCTTTTAAAGGATGTGTTTGGCTTGGAGGATGATTAACCGTGTAACTTTTGGTCAACTTTCTTTGATTTACTACTCTAATTTTGCCAAGTTTATTTTTGTAGATACAATTTCATTAAAAGCCAAAAGGAAACAAGATTCATACTGAATTGAAATCCATAAGCCACAATTAATCTTCTTTTTTGTCACTTTAGATTTTCAAAACATCATTTTATATGCTGATGTACTGGTACTATTAAAAATGCCATTTGAAGAAATGTCTTGCATTTTTATTAGATGTCTGATTTATTAATACCAAAGAATCTTATGATAATTTTCCATTTATAAAATTTGATTCATTCCAACATGGAAAGTAAATGAATTCTGATAGCTGTGTGTGACAGTGGAAAATAAAATTATATCAGAGCAGTAACTTATGATTCTATTCAACTTTTTTAAAATCCTCTTGACAAATGTGTGTTACTTATATAATTAAGTTTTGTAGCAACCTACCTCTTCAAAATAATTTTTAAACTTCTCTCAAGAGTAAAGATATTTATTTCCTGAAGCTAGTTAAGGAATGGGACAAAAAGGTAACCCCCAGACACAAAAACAAGAAAATTTAAGAGAGAAATGGAAACATTTATAGTGTTTATACCTTTGAAGGCCCTTTTTATCAGAAGCCAGCTTGTTAGCTTAGGAATATGTTTTTAATTACAGTATAACCAAAATGTATTATGACTAAAATATTGAGGGGTGTGAATGCTGAAGATTTGAGAGATTATTTTTTAATTAATTTCTCACACATGTAGCACCCTTCCCAGAATTTTTTAAAATCTAAAACTGCAAGATAGCCCCACCCCCAGCCCAGCCCAGATTTCTCTAGTTCTACTTTTAAACATTTTTCTTATAAGCCTAAAACATCACAAATCTCACCAGAATTTTTCCACATAGTGTCAATTTGTTTAGAAGTCATAACCCTGGACCTCTGGGAATTCTTTGAAAGAAATCAATCCCAGTCTACTCCATTCTTCTGGTGGTTCCTATATATCATAAACCCAGTTGCTTGGTGCTCTCAGAGACAACTGGCAGCCCATATCGAAGGTGCTGCCTTCCCATTTACCTTTCAGGGAAAGCTCTGACAAGAGGAGTAGCTAATGGCATCTCAAGAGCCCTTTCAGTCGCATTGTTCTTTCATTCCGCCTTTGCAGCAGCTTCGTGCCTAAAAATGAGCTAGCTTCTTGGCACTCAGATGTACCAATTTGCTTGATAACAAGGGCTCTTTCATTTTTTTGAAGTTAATCAGTCAACTATTTGTATCATTAAACCTAGGATGACTCTGACTAGTTACCATCTGCCTTTTCAATAAACAAATGGACTCGATTTATATACTCAAACCATCTCGTCATAAAATTTCATTTTGATGACTTGATTTTTGTCCCAGGTTTTTTCTTTTTGCGTGTGCATTTTTTTGAAGACAATTGACAGTGCCAAGCCATTTTGTCACTTGAAAGATTTTTCTTTCCCGAGAGAAAGCTTTTAGATGGATGACACTTTCCGATGACTTTTCAAGCTGACAGATTTGTCACTTACCTATTCAACTCTTCAGTCAGTTGTCTTCGCTCAAGATCTTACATCTGTAGATAATTTAGCCCTTTTACAGAGTTGTACAGTTCACCTGAGGAGTGGGAGGAGTAAAGAGAGGAAGGGAAGCAAAGTCGTGCTCTGCTCCTGGGTTCATGGTGTGACAACTGCTCATTCGATTCCATAGCCCTGTCTCACTGCCCTGGTTGTTCCCAGTCCGAGCCCACAATTAGCAATGAAATGACCATTATAAGAATCATGCCGATAAACATGAAACATTGCAGCCATACAGGCACTTTAAATAATTATTCTTTTTATAACTAAGCTATATACTGAAGGAGATTTATAATTTTGAGATAATATCCCCATTAGTAAAGTTTATGACCCAATAAACAGCTCCCACTAGTTAATAAATGCCAAAGCCGTAAAAACAAAGACTATTAATGTAATAGAATTTCTGTATCTCCCACTTTAGCTGGTGGTCTTGAGTCACTGAAGGGAAATGCTATCTTAGGAAAAACATTTATTCTTGTTATGTAAATATCAATGAATTGTCTTAAAATCCATCTGGAAATCTCACAGCCAGCCCCGTCCCTTGGTCCCAGGTGGCCCAGAAATGCTGATGCACTCTGCCTAGGTTTTCAGGAGTATAGAACACTGGTTTACAGCAAAAATAAACCCTGTGAATCAATTAAATCTTTCAGGGAGGTAGAGCAGAGAGCTGGGATTTCTGCCTCCTCTCAAAAAAAGTAAAAAGAGAGACATCCCAACTATTACCGTTATTTCAAGGTAATAATTTTTTTCTAAGTTTTGTAATTTTTGCATATACTTTATTTTTAGCTCTCTTCCCTCTGAAGAAAAGAAATCCTAAGAATTTAATCATTATTCCACGGTTGCGATTAAAAAATTAAACAGCTTCACAGCCTTTGCACTTTCTTATATTTTTAGCTGCTAACATTTTCTCACTTTAACAGAATACCAAGTGCTGCCTGTGAGTGGCCAGGAAAGCTGGTGGTTAATATAGGCAAACGTTTTGTACTAAGCACCAATCATTTTTTAGTATTCTTGGGATCATGGGAATGATTGATAAAGTCCTTTGAAAACCCAAGTCACATCTTTTCAGAAGAAACTGATGAAAAACTGTTGAAGTTCACATTAAATTGTTTTCTGAGTCCCTATTGAGTACAGATGCCGTTGGCAGATCATTTGAAGTGCCTGTGTGCTTCCCTTCACCCTTTAAGTGTGGAATCACTGAATTATTGAGTGTGGCTCTTCTAGCCAAAGACCTCCACTCCGAGCAAACAACCTTTTCCCTGCCTGGGTCTGGTAAGATGGGGAAATACTGATAGGATTCACCAGTGAGTAATTAGGAACAAGATTCCCTGGAGTGCCTCCTGCACTATATAAAATGAGCCCACTGTGAAGCAGGAGGAAAGGTTCTCATTACCAGGAAGAGCCAGGAGTAGAGTGTATCCTCTAGATCTGAGATCCCTGAGCAGTGAATATCCTGGATCCATCAGAGGAACAGCAGCAGAGCCAGGAGCAAGTGCATAGAACAGAGTGATAGACTCTCCAAGCCATGGAGCATGTAAAGATTCGTGCGTCTACAGAAAAAATCATCTGTAACTTATCAAGTGTTTGTGAGGTAGGGTGGGCGTGTGGGGGAGGGTGGGGG